AAAAACGTTTTTTTTTTGTTTCTTTTTTTTATTTCTCTAATACAGGGGTCACCAACCTTTTCGAAGCCGAGGGCTACTTTTTGGGTACAGATTAAGCTGCGGGCTACCAGTTCAATGTACACTTCTAAAAAATCAGTTGCTCGATTAAGCTTCAATTATTGATATAATTACTGGTATTTAGTGAAGTATAGACACTAATAAACTTTAGAATTCTTCAGGAAATCAAACAATTATCACAACGTTGCAAATAAATTTCTATCAATAACACTTGTATTTCAAAACTGAGTGTTTTCAAATTGATTTTCAACACTCTGCACAAGTCTAAGATAAAATGTAATTAACAGTTGTACTATCAAATGTTGAAGAGTATTATACTCCGACGTGTAATTTGACACTGTAACTCTGAGCGAGTCTTGCAGATTTTCATCAGTGAGGCGTGTTCCATGTTTGTTCTTGGTGGAGTGAGTCGCGGCGCTATGGCCCATCGTGTCAAGCGTTAGGTTCGCATGTTAGAATCCCATGCGGGAATAGTTATGTGCGAAAGAATAGCTGGACTCCTCGCCGCCGTAGGGTGGTTCACGTAACCGCTGGTCGGTTAAGGCTACCTTCGCCATCAAGTCCAGGCTTTCGGAAACAAATAACTAACTAATCCCATACCCGACATCGAATGGTAACCAGCAAGAAGCCGTGGTTTGTCATATGGTTCAGCCGTCCTATCTTCTTCCCCGGGATAAATATGTAAATCTCCTCCTATCCTGAGTTTTTGTCAAAAATGTTGATTCGAAAGGATAGGTTCAAACAAACGATGGTCTCGTAAAATAGGATTGCTGTATGATTTAAATCGCGAGCTTTTTCTGTCCGTACTGTGCTGACCAGTTGTAGTTAGCGCGGAAGATTACGTGACAAGATGTGAAATATCTCCCTGCTTTGCCGTCGCTAAAATCGCCCCACTAATGAGACACACGCAGGCTGTTTTCATGGTGGTATAAATATATCCACCTCCCATTCATCGTGAAAATGATGGGTTTTTCTTCGGAATCAATAATTGTATTATAACTGCTTCGCTAACCAACGGACAAGAAAAAGCACGGGTTCGTGGAAAGTGACCTCAATGTGATGTCATAATTGGAAGAGTGTTAATTGACCCGTCACATTACTGAGGTCAAAGTAAAATAAGGTTGATGGTTACAATAATTAATATAGTGTCATTTCTAGTTTCAATATAAGTGTGATTTATACTAAAATAGCAGGACAAAATATAATTGATCTAGCTTACTTATAAGAGCCGTTATTAAGCTTAGTTTGGAACAGACCTGCGGGCGACTCATATGGTCTTCGCGGGCGACTTGGTGCCCGCGGGCAACGCGATGGTGACCCCTGCTCTAATACCTTACATCGAGGATGTCTAGTTTTTATGGTCCACCAAAGTTACAATGAAGGCCATATATTGATGGTATAAAAAAATTTGTGCTCCACCCCAATTTTTTTTGGGGGGGGGTTTTTGGACTTAACCCTTTTTGGTTCTCAATTTTGGACCAGAATCTGGACCAGAAACAATTTTATTGGACTTAGGGCCCCTTTATTATGTTATTATAGAGGCTGGTATAGACTTAGCGCTTTGTATTATATTTTTTGAGAGGAGCTATGTCCAAAAAACGGACTTAGCCCCAACTTACAATGCAGTTATCCAGAGCTAAGTCCACTATAGTAGACACAGCTCTGTTTAGTTCTCAAATGCCCTAAAAAAAGCAGGGTTATGTCCATAGCTGTCTTGAGATCTAGAGCACCTAGAGATAAGGCAAATAGACCAAAATGTAGAGCTAAGTCCAGTGATAAAAATTGATAAAACCGGCTCCAATTAAATTTAACAATAAATAAACTATTATAATGTATCGTCAGTTCGGCAGTAAGGGCTGCGATCGCTCAAATTCAAATTATTTATTTTCGGGTCGGTATGGCTATTTTCAAAACTCCAAATCTTGGACACATGTCTGCACCCCTGTATACCGTTATGCAGCTATTGGCTGTAACATCGTTTATGACATAACAATACAATTGATCTGTTCATTTCTCGCAACATCTTGTTACAGCGTTCCCTTTCGGAAGTGCATGAACCAAAAAGCACTGTAGACTGTTTTGGGGGATAGGCTTTACAAGAACTAGATGCCACTTTGGAAAAACAAAATTTTTTGGACTTAAAATAAAGACCTAGCAATCTGAAATAATAATGGGGCAGTGTGAAAGTGGGCCAATCAAAAAATATAAATCTATCAGACAGGAATTCCCTTACAATACAAACTCTCTAGAAACGTAGGATAATTTGCCGCATCACCCTAAACATTTTTCGGTAACCCATATACACGTTTTCGTACACGAATTACATAAAATCGAGTGCTATAAAGAGTCTAGTAGTCCCTGATAGAAGTGCAGCACAAATAAAGCCCAAAACTACACAACACCAACTGAAGCTTATAAGATTCGCAATATAAGAAGATGCAGCAAGTTGCTTATGGATACAAACATTGATCACCTATCAGTAGGGATTGGACGAGACTTGAATTAGAGTCGATTCCACGCATTTTTTGCATTCGGATTCGATTTTTGAGTCCACGTCATTTTTAACGAGTCTATAATCAATTGTTTTTACTAATTTGCACCTATGTTTGTACTTTTACCCCTATAAATCTCAGTACATACCCTAACTCAGGGGTCACCAACCTTCTCGAGGCCGAGGGCTACTTTCTGGGTACAGATTAAGCCGCGGTCTACCAATTCAATGTACACTTCTAAAAAGTCGCGGCTGTGTGGCCATCGTTAGTGTGCTAAGCGTTAGGTTCGCAGGTTAGAATCCTATGCGAAGATAGGTATGTGCGAGAGGATTGCTGGACCCCTTGCCGCCGTTGGAATGACTTCCTTCGCCACACGACATGAAATGGTAACTGGACGAGAGGCCTTGGTTCGCCATATGGTTAAGCCGTCTTATCGGCTATCTTCTTCTCCCCCAGGATAAATATGTAAATCCCATCCTATGTTGATTCACAGAGATAGATTAAACGAAACAATGGTCTCGTAAAATAGAATTGCTGTATGATTTGAACCGCCAGCTTTTTCTGCCCGTACTGCGCTGACCAGTGGACAGTTAGCGCGGTAGATTGCGTGACAAGCCGTGAAATATCTTTTTGCTTTGCCGTCGCTACAATCGCCCCACAAATGAGACACGCGCAGGCTGTTTTTATGGTGGTAAAAATATATCAACCCCCATTCATCGTGAAAATGGTGGGTTTTTCATCGTTTTTCTACCATTTTTCTTTGGAATCAATAAATATTTCGACAAACCAACGGACAAGAAAAAGCGCGGGTTCGTGGTAAGTGATATCAGTGTGATGTCACAATCGGAAGAGTGTTGATTGACCCGTCACATTACTGAGGTCAAATAAAAATCAGGTTGATAGCTACAATAATTTATATAGTGCCATTCCTGATTCCCATATAAGTGTGATTTATACAAGAATAGCAGGACACAATTTATTTGATGTAGCCTACTCATAAGCGCCCTTCTTGTGCGGGCGACTTGGTGCCAGCGGGCAACGCGTTGGTGACCCCTGCCTCAACTAGTTAAAATTCTTAATGAAAACGACGACAGATATCCAGATAATATAACGCATGTTGAAAACTATTGATCGCTTAATGTCGTGCCAGTCGCCTTCGAACTATCTATTCTTTTTGGTATACATGTGAACAATAAAATATGTGTTAGCGCAATATTTGAGTTTTCGATTCGCCTTAAAATTAAATGAATCAACCCAGGGGGTAATTTCAACAATATCTCCTTTAAATCGAGTTTATTACGTGCAATCTGTAAAGTTGACAATACAACTCAGTTCAAAGTCAATACATCGATTAATACAGATTAACAAAACCACAAACTAATAATGAGCATGCTGCCCAAACAGACAACAACAACAAACACAATAGAAAATTATTCACGCCTGAGCGAACATGATAAATGAAGCAAAACGAAAGTGAAAGAATGCAGTGCTTGAAATGAATAAAGCAGAACAGTAACAAATTCACTGTGTTTTATTTTAAGTTTAGGAAAGACTTAATTGTCCGAGGGTAAGCGTTTGAACGAGTCGTTCAGGAGATGCCCCTTTTTTGGTAAGAACATCAGCCAATTGTTTTTTCGATTCGACCCAGCTTATGCTGTTGATTTCTTTGTTTTGAATCATCTCCTTCAGCATCCCTATTTCAACTCGTAAGCGTTTGTTGGAAACATATTTACTGGATCGGAGTGCTTTACATAGTGATCGATTGTCGGTTATGACATCGAGTTGTAGGCTTTTGAGTTTTCCAAAATATATCTCCGCAAACATATCTTTGATAAAAACAGCATTGTCAACTGCGTCTGACAATGACAGTGTTTCCGCTGTGAGAGTACTTTTGGCAACGCGACGAATCCTCTTGGACTGCCAGCTTAGCAGAGAGCATTCATTATTTTCTCCAACCAAGAACACCAAATTGCCACCATCTCTCAGGTTACCATAAGCAGCATCAGCGAAGACGATAATCTTTAATAATTCATCATTTCCTAAATTTTTGTATTTCAATGATAATTGCTGGTTTTTCAGTCTTCTTATTATCTTGTTCATATAGAGCAAATCTTTTTTCTTCCCATCTTTAAGGTTAGAAGCAAGCTGACAAACATCATAGCTCACGTCAGGACGTGTCTGATTGCTTGCCCAAAGAAGACGGCCAATATTCGCTCTTAGACGAAAGACACTCTGCATCATCTGAGGTCACTTTTATGGTCTCAAGGTTTTTTACATACAATTCTTGATTGATCAATATCTCATCAGCTGATTGTTGTATGTCTAGTCCCAAATATTTGAATGCCTCGTTTTTCTCCGAGCTAATTAGAAATGTTGACCTCAGTTTCGAAATCAAATTGTTCTCAAAATACTCTGTGCCAGACCACAGAATATCATCAACATGAATCCCAGCTATTCCTTGTAATTCCCCATTGCAGTATACATTGCTGAATCAGATGCTGATACTTTTGCTCCTTGGTCAACGAGAAACTTCTTTAGTCGATTGTACCATTTGAGTGATGCATCACTTAATCCATAAACACATTCGTTTAGTTTCCATAGCTTGGTAGTTCCAGCCTCTTTGGGAGGCTTTAAAAATATTTCTCTATCCACACAATTTCCCTGTAAGGAAGCTGTTTTAATGTCAATCGTATGAAGCTTTCATTTCTTTTGTGCGACAATGGCAATAAGAACCCTGAGTGAATCTTTTGAACAGGTGGGCGATTCTTTAGCAATATCGTCAGTTTGTTCTTCAAAGCCTCTTGCGACAAGTCTGGCTTTGGGAATGATTCCATCTTCAGTATCTTTCATTGAACACACCCATCGTATGGAAATTGTTGGTTGACCAACATTTTCGACTTCATTGTAGACCTTATTTTGTCTCCAGCTTTTCAACTCTGACTTCTTTGCTTCTAGAAAGTCAACATTTTCCAAGACCAACACATCTTCATGAGTGTTTTCATCTATTTCCTTCTCGTTCAGATTTTCCACTTTATCAAAATCTACGTACCCAGATTTTCCTCTAAAACTTTCTGGATTACAATATTCAACATTGTAGCTTTTCCCATATTTCCCGGTTGATTTACCTGCACGACTAAGGATTTTGGCTTCATAGTCTTCACCAGCTAATGTAAAAGAGACAATTTTGCCTTTAGTCAAGTTGAAATTACGTCTGCCACCAGTTGCTGCTTGAACTGGATTGCCAATTGCACTTTGGTCATTATCCATATTTTCAGAATCATTGCTTTCATTTGAAATTTCTGGAACAGACTGTTCCTCATCTTCTATATGATCATTACCATTAGACGAAGCGTCAATTCCACTATATGATCATTACCATTAGACGAAGCGTCAATTCCATCATTAGAATCTGTTGGAATGCAAACCTCCTCTGTCTGAGGAAAATCCTGAAGATAACGGTCAGCATGCTGGACTCTGCATGAATGTGCTCTGATTAGCTGTCCGCCATGTCGTATAAAAATAACCGGTCCATCTTGCCCAATTACTTTTGCAGGGCCCTTCCAACGTTTTTGATCCTCTCTCTTATAATAAACCTCTTCTCCCGTGAAGAATTCATCCCGAGTCTGTCGGGTTTGTGTTCGTAATGCTCTTCTTATTTTTTCGGAAGATTCTGATTCAATAACTGCTTTTCTGGCAGCTTGCATTGCAAATATATTATTGGCTACAGTGAGACTTACAGTTTCACCTTCCAAGGCAGGTGGGTCATCATGAGTAACTGATGGCAAAGTCGGATTCCTTCCAAACACGAGCTGGTTAGGGCTGAAGCCATTGTTATTCACAAGTGAGTTTTTTGCGCTAACAGCCCAAGCAAGTGCAGTTTCCATATCACATTTCTCAGCTGCCTTAATCTTCATCAATGTTTCTGTCAATGTCCTATTGTGTCGCTCGCTGAGTCCATTAGACCACAGTGAGTATGCAGCTGTCGTCGTGAATGTTATATTAAAATTTTCACACATATCTTTGAACACTTCAGAATCAAATTCTCCGCCGTTGTCACTCAGAATACGAGCCGGACTTCCAAAAATGCTGATCCAATTTTGCATGAATTTCTTTACAATTGTTGATGAAAGTTTATTTTTCACAATGGCAGCTCTACTGTATCGAGTGAAGTGATCAATCATATGCAAATACCACATATCAGAACCTAGCTGATGTAGATCGACCGCCACTGTTTGATGAAAGTCCTACAACTGGACGTGGCGAAGGTTTTTTGTAAACTTTACATATTTCACAGTCAGGCTCGAAAGATCTGCATTCCATTTTCCTGCATTCTGAATGAGCTTCTTTAATTTGTCTTGTGACGCATGGCCGAACTGTTTATGCAATTTTGTAATTTCAGCTTTCCCAAATTCTTTATGCCCAGTGCTTTCTGATGCAAGGATTTCATTACGACAACCAACTTCTGCCTTCATTTTGGGCAGTATATCTACCGCATAATGTCCATTGGTAGATAAATGCAACTTGAGATCTTGCTTGAGCATTACCGCACGATCGTTCTGCATGTCAAGTACAGTGCCTGCACGCTTCAGTGTGCTTTTGCTGAGTAACAATGGCAAGTTTTCTTCATTCACAATTTCAACCTCCATTCTCAGCAACGTTCGGCCAATTTGTACAGGAATTATAGCCTTTTTCTCAGCTTGAATTTCTTCCCCATCTCCAAATTTAAATCTCTTTATTGAAGGAAAAATCTCAACTCTGCTCGACAAGTTTTCGTTTAAGAGCCCAAGATAATTCCTGAACCATTTTTTACCAGCTACTGTCTTCGTGCAAGCAGTATCTATTATTGCAGCCTTGGCAGCTTCAACTACAAAAATATCTGAAGAATTTTCATCTGTTATCAAAACCATTTTGCGCATCGGAACAATAAACTTGATTCTTCTCATGTGGACATTGTTTGGCCCAGTGCATTTTTGATTCACAAATTGCACATCTAGATATATTTCCGTATTTGTCCCGTGGATTCAGTTGAGCTTTTACTGTCGATTCATGATGCTTGTATCGCTGCTTTGCTCCTCCGCCACTACCGGTGGCGTATCTCGATCTCTCTTTGAAAAATTCTTTCTTAGATTTTGGCCTACCAGTACCGGTATCACGAGTCACAAATGCATTTTCCTTTTTAATATTCGATGCAACATCATCTTCATCAAAATCACAATTCTTTTCATCGCCATCTTGCTTTGAAAGAATCCTTTTTAAGGCTGATTTCATAGATTCGAACTTCAAGTCGCTTCCAACAGTAAGAACCATTTGGCGCTGTTGATCAGTTAGGCCTGCAGCATCTAATATCTTAAAAGCCAGAATGGTATCTGGTAGCTTCATGTCATATTTTACAAGTCTAGCATACCGGTGTTCAAACTCCAGGATAAAATCCACCATTGAAATATCAGAACTTTTCTGATATTTACTAAATAGCGTGTAGGCTAAATAGGCCTCATCAGTTTTCTCTGACTGAAATGCACCATCAAGTTTCCATCAAGTTTTCCAAGAAGTTTGTCCAACCCATCATCAGCTTTCAACTGTTCACTAGTTAACTCTGACACAGCTTTCTCAGCTTTATTATTTCCATCAAGCGACTGCAGACGCACCAAAATTGCCTGCTTTTCCTTTGGCACTTCTGTTATGGAAATCCACATGTCCAACTTATTTTTCCATTCTGCATAGCTAGTACCGCCTCCAAACCTTGGTGGTGGTATTTGTCTGGAAGTCATTTTCCTCTGCTACCATGTAAAGTTGACAATACAACTCAGTTCAAAGTCAATACATCGATTAATACAGATTACCAAAACCACAAACTAATAATGAGCATGCTGCCCAAACAGTAAAAACAGACAACAAACACAATAGAAAATTATTCACGCCTGAGCGAACATGATAAATGAAGCAAAACGAAAGTGAAAGAATGCAGTGCTTGAAATGAATAAAGCAGAACAGTAACAAAATCTTTTCCCTAAAAAGGGAGAAATGGAAAGCATGTAGAATATTAGAACTTTCATATGAACTACTAAATTGCAAGCAGATGTACCTCATTGTATTGACGAGTGGCATCTCTCTGCCATTTGCGCATAAAACATAGTAAGTTTACGGCTAGAAAGATCTGGAATTATGGGGAACCATTGCAGTCAAAAGCTTTTTATTTTTCATAGCGACGCCGACATGTAAGAATTACTAAATAGCCGCCCAGAATTAACAGAAGGTGATGGGCTGGAAATCCAGTTCACAACCAAGGCGCATATTAACCCACGTTCAGGTTTGTATTGTGGCCGCCAAGATAGAGGGAAAATATATTTCTAATATGATTCAACAGCTATCTGCAGAACTATTAGGCAAAAAATATGAGCTATGACTAGGGCTGGGCAAAAAATTCGGCAAAAAATTCGAATAGCGAATCAGATATTAAATTATTCGAATGGCATTTACTATTCGAATATCCGGTACCACGTGACCTGCGCCGCTTCGCTTGGACACGGAACTCGCGTCTCTCGAAATCGATCGTGAATCGCGCGAGAATTCACCTACAGCGCTGTCTTTGCGTTGTGGTGTGATTTGCTTTCTTTTTGCGCCCAACATATCGTTTCAATTCCCTATTTTGCAAAAAACCTGTTTCGCTGGTTATCAGCCGTTTCATGCATGACTCAAACATAAAAGTGATTAACGAAATTAAAAGTTGAAATTACGTTTTCGAGATACTATACATGGTATGAGTATGATGCTTATAAGCTATAATCAGAAAAAAATGACAAGCCAAACTCCATTTAATGTATTTTCTATGAGCTCTTCAGTGATCCCTTTCATCTATGACCAAGTAATGTTTCGAAAATGTGAACATTCGACCACTCGGCCATGCATGGCGGGTTAAGGGATAAAATCGTGAACGAGAGTAGGCCTAAAATAAATCGTGAATTTCGATGTTACAATGCACACTGTCTCGTTTGCGAATTGTTGCGCCTATCATCATCGGAAATGATTACATTCGTTATATTTCGAACATTTTTGCACTAATAATTAGAAAATCGTAAGTGAAATTGTGAATTACTCGGAAACGATATTAGCTATAATTAGGGCTGTCCAAGCGAACCAAATATTCGAAATGGAATCGCAAATTATTCGAATCGTTTTTCGGCTTATTTCCGAATCGCTAAAATTAGGTACAGAAAGCGGAAACCACCTTTGCAGGACGTTTTTCATCGGACAAGCGGCGGTGCTTCGAGCTTAGACCACTCTCCCTCCCGGCTTAATTGGTTTATAGCACCCAAATTTTGGAGTCCTCCAATATTTTTGACCAGTTCATACAAGCGTGTGCCCTCTGAAAACATTTTATTACAAAATACCAGCAGTCAGTAAGATGTAACTAACTGCACATACGTTACCACAACATCGAAGGGCAGGCGTTTATTGTATAATAGAGACAGATTTAGGATTGCGCAATAATATTCGATTATTCGGTTCGATTCGGCAAAAATATTCGATTCGAATCAAAAAATTATTCGATTTTGGACAGCCCTAGCTATACTGATTGCCGGGATATTGTTCTGTTAAAAAAAAACGTTTACTTTATGAATAGATTGTTTGCTTGTTCCTATTACAATATTACTCGTGTACCCTTATAAAGTAATCAATATTGTAGGGCATAGGAAACTAAACTTTGTCTTTTTGGTAACCTGACAACTTACGTCGGCAGAAAAATAAAACAAATTCCTGAGAGACTGACAAAAAAAACTATTTGGGAGGCACCTACTACTAATTTCCTACTGAAGTGTTATTGAACCGAAATTGAATTTCAGATGACACATTCAAAAATCGCAACTTTGAGTTCATCAGTCGCATTGTGTCTAAAACTGTTCTCGATGAGGACTGGTTGGAATTTTCTCGTACGAAGTTGAAGCTCAGAGACAAAGAAATAGAAAACATCATCTGGAGACATGGAGAGTTCAGTGATGAGTTCAAGTATCAGCTTATCAAGAAGTTACAGCAAGAGGTAACCAGCAAACTCTATACAAAAATTGTAATCTTAGTTGTAAAGCAGAGAACAACTCATTTTTTGGCTAGAATAGAAGCTCCGACTTCTCTGCTTACCATGAGCAAAGGTGGCATTGACATATTCGAAACAAAACCTGATTTCATTACACCCTCTTTCGTGCTACAAAAACTCCTCATTGCTAATTAACTTCATGTCGTTGTTACAAAGCTGAGACCCCAAACCTCGAACCATTTAAACTAACTTTAGCTCCAAACAAACGAAAACTTTGTCTTTGCCTTTTTTAATTATCTGTTGAGAATTATTACTCAAGCTAATTATATTATAATAGCTATCAAACAATTGAAGTTTTGCTATTTTAAATGCGGAACCCTTAACTTTTGTAACCTGTTTCATACCTAACTTTATAAAAGTAAACAAGCTTACCGGTAGTTTGAGATGTACCATAAATGTAACCCACAACTTCACCCAAAGTCTCAAACTTATTTGATTGTTTGTAGAGCTAAGATCTGAAGCCCGAAAGAAGACCCGAAATTTAGGCCGGGTCAGGCCTCTCTATCGCTGGTGTTTTTATTTAAATGAGGCATTTTGGCCGTGTTTTGGCCACGAGAGACAGAAGGGCTAATGGTTTTGATATGACACTCTACGTGTTTGCTCTGAACAAGGCTCCATGGAAGCTGCCACTTTGTGTGCAATCTTAGCACTTTACTATATTATCATAAGCAAGCACAAACACACATTAAACATTACAGAAGGCCCCTAGTCCATTTCTGATATGTTTTATTTTTAAACATTTTTTTGTTTTTCAATCAGTTGAAAGAAGAAATAGAGAAAACAAATGAAACAGTGAAAGAGGTAATTAGACTCCCTCGTAACTAGTTTTCATTTTCTCAGTTTAAATACTTGGTTTGGGAGAATCTATTTCTTGGCGTTTTTGCAGGAGAGAATGCTTGTATAAAATAGCATATTATGAACTAGAATTTTGTGATTAATGACAAAGCTTTATCTTCCATGTCTGCTTCACACAATTCATAATTTCAGCAAGTATCGTTATGTGATGCAAAATTAGGTTATAAAATTACTCGCACGCAGCTTGTTTGTTAACTTTAGACTCGCACACAAATTGTTTGTCAATTTTAAAATTTCCCTCCTCGATAATGCAAAAAATTACAATTGCACAAAGTTTCAAATACCTTTACTGACATGTATTTCTGGACATAACACCAGTTTTCAAGCTTCTGCTATGAGACAAGTGACATGTATTTTTTCACCAAAAAAAAAGTGTAATATTACTCATTTGGCATTTGAAATTTTTTTGTAATCCAGCCACTCAAGTTGACCACTTGACAAATAGGAATTCGAATAAGTACATTAGTGGAAACTGTAATTTCTTTAGTTTATTTTTTAAGCAAGTAGATTAACTTATATTCTCTCAATACCCAGAGGCACAAATTGGGTAATACATACTGACAATACGATAAAATAAATTATTTCAAAGTTAGAAAATTGTATGCCAGTACGGTAAGTAAATAGCATCTTTTATAACTAGTTTTCTATTTTAAATGCAGAACTCAACTCGTGTGACCTGTTTCATACCTAACTTGATAAAAGTGAACAAGTTTAGTTTGAGTTGCACTATGAAAGTAATCCCAAAGCCCCAAACCTGTTTGATTGTTTGCTTTTGTTCATGATACCTCAAATATCCACTGGTCTAGCATAATTTCATAGAACCATCCAAGTCCATGATAATGAAATAGGAAGTTAACTATAATATAGGGTCAGTGACCAATGAAATTCAAACTTGCGAGCTCATGCAAGATAATCAAAAGGGCTACCGCTACTGGTAATTGTTTCTATATTAAACATATTAAAAAGTAAACAACATAGGAAGGTAAAATGAAATTATTTATTCATATACACAGCATTCAAAATAAGAAACAAAAAACCATTTGCAAAATATCCAATCGTATATTAGTTATGTTTCACACCCTTCTGTTAACTTTCGGGCACACCCTATGGGAGCCACTGCATTAACACATGGTCGATGTTACCCTTTTCTATCAAAGTTTGTTCAACTATACATGTCCATGATTACCTGTTATTTTGCACTAACCGGGGTGCAACCTTGCGCATTTTGCTACTATAAGAGAACTGATTGCACAATGTTTCGTTTTTGGTTAAGATTTACCAAACGATTGAAAAAATAAGAAACTGGGGGAGCCTCGTAAGAACTACAACGGGTATACCAATTAAAAAGCAACGAAAAATGATTGTTCACAGTGGTTTGATCAATGAAAAAATCAAACTGAAAATGCTTGATTATTGGATGAAGAAGCATGGTAAGCACAAACCTATTCCACATCATGGTATGACTTTTATATATTATATGAACAAGCTTATATTATGGTCGAGCCTAGAGCAAGAGAAATTGGACTAAACTCCAATCTAATTGAGCATCATAGCTTAAAATTTATTTAAGTGGCCGCAAGTACAGGCCTTAACATATCATGTGATATACTTGCAAATAGGTTGTACTATACTGAACGAAATATTGTTTCAAAATTAGTGTTGTGATCTGCTAGAGATGCAACCTATGAGCAACTATATATGAAAAATCCAGAACCATATTCCCACTGTTTATTAAAAATTTCTGGTTGCGCATTGCAGATCTAATTTTTTCCACGCAATTGGTGGAACTGGAACCTGCTATCTTCAACCTCATAAAAGGTAGGTCCGTCCAATGCTCAAACACTCTCGGCCATCGCACCTGATTAACTTTATCAATATCAAAAGAGACTTCTAAAGTAAACACAAGTGTTACAGAAAACCAGATCCTAAGTAAAAATTATATTTTAGCCAAGAATCACGATAAAGAGTCTCTCGGAGAAGAACTGCTCAGACTTGTAGAGCTGTTCATAGGTAGAAATACAAGAGGTAAGTTTCAATAATGGTCAACTTTCTTCACTGGTGACCAGCATTAAAAATAATCTTTGCCTGCCAACAAAATATTGAAAGAAATGCAAATGGAAATAATAATTCTGTAACTGTAACAGGTCAAGTCTTTCAAAAAGTTCATTTATACTTAAAAATTTGAAACAAACAATATTTGTTACTTCACGAGTTGTTCATTTGTTTGATATTATAATAATACTCATCATAACTCATGTACCCTTGTAAAGTAACCAATATTGTAGGGAAGAGTAACCAGGGCAAAGAAAATTAAACTTTGTTTTTTCGATAACCTGGCAAGTTTGTCACTTGCGTTGGCAGAAAAATAAAACAAAACAAAAAACATCCACTATATGGATGCCAACTTATACCGGTACTAATTTCTAAGTATTACTGAACAAAACTGAATTTCAGATGACGCATTCGAAAACCGGAACATCAAGTTCATCAATGGCATTGTGTTAGGAGAGATTCTAGACGAGGATTGGTTGGAATTTTCTCGTACAAAGTTGAAGCTCAGTGACAAAGAAATAGAAAACATCATCGGGAGACATGGAGAGTTCAGTGATGAGTTCAAGTATCAGCTTATCAAGAAGCTACAGCAAGAGGTGAGTAGCAAACTTTACAAAAAATTGTAATCTTATTCATTAAGCAGAGAATAACTCATTTTCTGACTGGAATAGAAGCTCCTGACTTCTCTGCTTAACATGAACAAAGGTGGCATTGACATATCCAAAAACGAAACCTGGTTTTCATTACACCCTCTTACATGTTACAAAACCTCCTTGCTAATTAACTTCATGTCGTTATTACAAAGCCGCAAAATTTGAAAAATTACATCAGATTTCGAACCTTGAATCATTTAAAATGACTTAACCTCCAACTCCAAACAAACAAAACATGTCACCTGCAACTTGACGCATACAAATGCATGTTTGCACAAGGAATGGAATTTGATGCATAGAAGCCTTTTTTAAATTGAGAATCTGTTGAGAATTATTTGTGAAGCTAATGCCTTTTTAATAACTATCAAACTATTGGATGCATAAAATTTCAACTCATGGCTTTGAAAAGTATGCAAATATAACTACAGCTCCAATATTAAATATAAACACACAATACTCCTTTTCCAGAGTCATGGGTCATCAGATAATAAAACCAGAAAAGAGTTAGTTACCGTAGTTATTAGCCAAGAGTATCTTACTGCAACTTGGCTAGTCGTTTCACCACCTCACTATAAATAATGAATTTTTCCTTCAAGTTTCAACTAAGAAAAATACGTCCATCATCCCCCCTCCCCCCTTATACTGATTACCGATACAAGACTCTAGTTCAGGGTGGTCCAAACCCAGGCCCGCCGCTTCATTATCTGTGGCCCGCGTCACATTCGGAGAGTAATCAAAAAATCGCATTTCGTGTTGTTTCGTCATAAAATTAATCAGAAAATCTTTTGACATAGTCTCATCACTAATGTCACTGAATTAAATAGTGTTATGGCTAGCTGGGGAAACTAGCGAAGTTGAATGATGTGCTTGGCAGTCTAAATTGTTATCTGGCTTACTAACTTTTTGGTCAGGAATATATGCTAATAATATTAGCATCATAGAAAACTAAAAATCGAAAGGCTATGCCTAATAACTACCGTATGTGATTGACTGATTGTACAATAAGTGTTTGTTTTGTATTGCACTGTTTACCTATTCTTGGCAAATGCAAAAATAATTTTGTGGCCCGCGGAGTCGACAACCTTGGACCACCCTGCTCTAGTTGCTTATTTTGAAGATATTTCCGAAATTCACTACCTGAGTACTACTGTATTTGAACTATCAAAAAGCATCTGAATTTAGCTAGAAAAATACATCAAGGTGCAAGGTGAAGAATTGAAATTGATATGTATGGTAACTCTTCCTACTATTTACAGGAAATGGAAGAACCATGCAGTCAGGAGTGGGAACTACGACATGATGGAGATAGTTCAGACATATCAGATGAAAATAATTAAAAAGTTGTTGGACATTATTTTGATGATATGAATGCATTTACGAATTCATTTGGCATATAATTCCACAAGTTATAAGTAATACTAGTTAATTCATCTTGTTATTCCATCGATATTTTATACATGCCTGAAGATTTTCCGCATTTCTAAACTATTTGTCGACTCTTGTTTTGTATATGCTATACAGTTATTTGAAATCCCAACTTCAAAAATTAGATGAGCGTGCTTCGAGGGTAATTCAATCTGGCCCGCCTGATACTGCCACAACCAAACTAAAATTAAATTTAGATGTTTTAGCTAAAAAAAATTGCTCAAGGAATTGTTGAGATTGCGATTAAATAGAGTTTTGGCTCAAGTTTATTGTTTTGCACTTACTTATGGTTTCAGAACACTGTAAATATTGTTCATAAAATGTAACTTTTCACGTCACACTTACATGGCCCTCTATGTCCCTGAGCTGAAAACCTTACCCACTCTTGTTCTAATGCGGCATGAAATAAACTTGTTTCAATGTTTAGATTTGATTGTCCTAATCCCTTAACAATTCTAATTTTAGGATTTTTAAAGTTTATTTATTTCACAGAATCAATTATCGAAACTGTAAATATTCCAGAATATTGATTTTCATAATTACCTAATTTCTTGTAGTATCTCACGAAAATGATCACAATCTGCAATACAGGGATGTTCAGAACGATTCAGAATTAATTTAATTCAATATTACAAATTCCTGATTTTGGAAATAATAATCTCACAGTATGATAAAAAGGCCTTCATTCAATATCTGAAATATGTACGACTCAGACAAACAGTCAATTCACTGTTTATATCAACTTCTAGGCATTTCCAAATTCAAACCCAACAACATACTTTAGCTTCTATGAGTTCTTTGTTGGATTTGATCCAAGAACATATATATTCGGCATTCCATACTCAAAAATTTTATTAAGGAATGATACATTTTTCAGTTTTGTCCATCCCTGACGCAGAAACCCTACTGTGAAATTAACTAATTTGCCATGCTGAATTTTTTTGTTGCCCACCATAGATAGTATAACCCTAAAATAACCCTCTAAAATCTTCTCAACCATTATTACTGTTCAATAAGTCAAAAATTAATACTGATCATGTGTATATTGTTAATAGGCATCCTAGGTTAGTGTAGGTCTTAGATTCAATATTCATAATTACTGAAAAATAGTGACTGACAATGCCAGATAATACAGGTGATAATTTTATATTCATTTATTTTAGATTTTATAATCATAATATGATAAATAAATATTAAATGTTAGGACATGTGGAACAAACTATCAAAGCACAAACACCATTTTGCCATGTGAAATTCAAATTAATCTTTTTGATATGACATGGACTTGTGTACAGCATATAAAACATTATCAATGTAGAAAAATACTGGTAAATTAACTGAGACAAACAAGGCCTGAAAATTTGAATTCTGAAAATGTTGATCAAATTTTTTGTACCATTTTTCGAAGTTACAAAAAATGCAATTGAACATTTAATTATACTTTTAGAGACCTCAAAATTTCAACTCAACTTATTCGAAGAGAAGGAAAACAGAAAGATTAGTAAAGGTGGACAATTTTTTTTAGATAGGGTATTGAACAATTTTCTAAACATTAGTATAAATGGATGTAATGATTGATGTTATCAACTCGCGAATTTTAATAGTGACAATGCAAAGATAAAAATTATGTCCCTAATGACAAAACGAACCTTACCGCTTACAGTTATATATATCCTAGAGACAGGGTGCTAAATTATTAATATTTAGAAAACTGTCTAATAAAATTTTTTTTTTCCAGAGATACAAATCTTCGCAGATCACATTGAAGAGTACACATTCCTAGAATTTGCTCGGCTGTTTTTGGATGTTCCTGACAGAATCATTGACAGAATTTTGCGGCAAAATCTTTCCAAGGAAGATCTATACCGAATGTTGAGAGATTCATATGATACAAGTAAGTAAACATAAATACGTCGTAAACATAAATACGTCGTATTTATGTTTATATATACAATATACATCGTATCCTTATTACAACCGCAAATAACAGTTCTGTAAATCTATCAATAAACCACTTAGTTTCAGTAGAATGCATGATTCCAATTCAAAATAGCCCTTTTTAAATGATAAAAAATTATTTTGACTATGATAAATATATTGAAAAACACCTGACTTTTAAGATATCCCCACTACAATTTGCAGGATAGATGTGTTATTAGATGTATCTCTGGTGGTAAACTAAATCTCATCATTATCACAATTATTAAATGTAATGCTACTCATCAATCCAAACTATGCTATTCCTAAATAAATTTCAAGAGACAAGTTGTACTAAACTCTTCTTGCTTCTTTTTAAAAATAATTTTGTCTGATATTCAGAATTAAACTATCTGATTTCATTCAGATAGTGAACTGTTCATAGCAACTGTGAGAAAACATAGAGCAAAAATCAACTCTCATACATATTGGAAAATGGATCGATGCATCAGGCAGGATAGGAATGAGATTCCAGGTAAATTGACCTACATAACATAACTTTTGAGAAAAGCGACGGTGACTACTAAAAATTTTGGGTACAATCACGATCAAACAAAATCTAATAAATTTTTATCATTTGGGTTTGTATGGGTTCTTACCAGGTGGGTATGACCATAATAAAACTGTGTGAATGTTTAAAATTCTTGCTACTTAAGATAAAAAATATCACTTACCAGAGAAGCATAACAAACACTGGATAATTCCATTCAGTTGATGACTGAATTTAATCCCATTCTCTTTCATTCATAATCATGTAGTAATAAGTACATATATATCCATTCCCATTTGCAATATAATCCCAATATCTACTTCTATTACTTTTAAACCTTTTTTATTGACTAGCAAGTTATTACGGTATGTTTGAACCTGTTCAGTACAATATATGCATATTTTTTTATCGCCTAGCAACCTAGGAAATATGATAAAATTAAAAAATATCAATTTGAAATAAATTATAATTATGCCTATTCACAACAGAAAATCTTCTTGTCGAGATTATATACGAGCTCATCAAAGCGATTCCAATAAGGGAGAGGCGTAACTTCGCAGAAAATGAAATTGGAGTTCGCAATATAGAGTACAGAGACATTCGAAATGTGGAGATTACCAGTGATCTGAAACTGCATTTCCTGGAATGGTGGTGGGAATTCATAGGTAAAATCATATATCACTTTCATAGTATCAGATTTTTTGTTTGGCAATCATGGTGACATACATGATCTTGTTTCAAGTTATTATGTATCACAAAATAAATCAATTCCTATCTTAGGGAAATCTGTACAAAACTCCTTGACGGAGCTCAAAAAGAAGGCAAAGGATGGCGGATACTTGAAGAACCAAAGTGAGTCGAATACTATTTATCGGCATCTTTTTTTTTGGCGTTGGTTTATTTTTCGCATGAGCCTTTTCAAACATGATTTGTGTAAACTTTGTATCTGGATTTATGTATTTTATAATGTATTAGATGCCTAAAAGTCTGCCAATCACATTATTAAATCGACTTTGCCAGCTGCTATTTATCTTATTCATTATAAAAATCTTGTCGGTGCGATTAACCATCTCTGTTTAGTCCTGATATCGGTACTTCAAAAAGAAAACGATTATCACAAGATATATTGATTGATTTATGACCCTTCGGTTTTGCCGATTCAGGGCAGCAGGAAAATATGGAATGTAAAGTCATTTTACATTCACCCCTGATCTCTCTTATTTTACTTTTCCAGGTGACGTTCTCATTCGGGAGCAGTACTTTGAATAACGCAATGCCAACCAATAAGAAATCGAATGACTTGAAAAATATAAAACTATTCTGTCATGTGTCTCATGAGACAATCAATTTCATGTCCAAGTTTTTATTTTTTTTTAGATGTGGATTTAATTTTAGAATGTATATATTTGAAAATGATTATTAGTTCTTATAACCAGGGCGGGTGTAAAATCACAAGGTGGTGCTTTACCGTATATCCTCGACCTCGCATATAATGAGTTCAAAACTCATAAAAAGAAGTTGCCAAACTAAGAGGTTGGCTTATACTTGCATAAATCTGATCGCACTTAAAATTTGGCTTTTACACACATAATGGATTTGACAGTGACAATGAGGATAAATTTGAAGGATTTTGAGACACTTCTTACTGTTATCAATAAAAGTAAAACAACAATGATGGATATCATTTTCATTAATTCTCTTATGCAACTATTTGCGGTGATTTGTAGAACCGGCCTTTATGCGAGGATATACGGTAGTTACCTAATGTCAATTATTATTTGTCAATAAATATTATTCTTGCTAATTTGTTGTAAAAAACGCATATTCTTTAAGAATTACTGCTCACTTTTCAATAATGATGGTGGTCGGTAAAGTCAGTGTGGTGAAAAGACTGTATACCCACACGTTGCTTCCACCATCATTGTCAAATACCACCGTCCAACAAAGGACGCTATCAATGTCTATACATATTTCATTTATCTTATTGATCGTGTTAATTAATCTACTAGTATTTGTACACAATTGTGATTATATCATGCGCATCATCATCATTCTCTTTGTACCTAAAATTCAAAAATGCCTGTTCAAGTTGGGGGCAGTGAAGGGCAGAGGATGGTCCAAAGTTAGACATTTAGAAAGTGACAGTGACAAACAGCTTGATTTCATAATAATATTTTGTAATAGTCTTTTGTTTTGAAGAGCCAGGTATGAGTACGGCTCAGTTCTCCGATTGCAAGAATAGTCCCCACATTGAAAGATATCATTTATACTGTTATAACAGTAAGTGCGCCCCCTTTTTCTCGAGACAGTCTTGGCCTCCATATCAGCAAACCAGTACTGCCCAATAAAATAAAGGAAGCGCAATGTAAAACATCACCATTGGTAACTCAGAATTGGAGAACTGTGCCCAATCATGTGTTGATATTTTCGATAATATATTTTCTGGAATACATAACATTCATTCTGATTTTATCAGAATGTTATTTCTATAAAAATATACTGTACATCTAACTGAAGTACAATTTGATCCCAACCAAAGCAGATAACAATAAATAGCAAAACTAACTAATCCCATAGCCATACCTAATTTGAACTGGTAACCGGATAGGAGGCTGTGGTTCGCCGATGATGGATATGGTTTAGGTAGCTTTTCCTTTCCTCCGATATAAATATGTGAATTCCATCTTATTTCAGCAAATATGGGCATATTTGGAATATTTTGTAAATATATTGATAATACAGTACCGAAAAACAGTAGGGCACAGTTTGCAAATTCCAAGAATGTCCCGTCATTTGGTTCAATAATCATTAGGTTCTCACAAACGAAGGGCCATAACGCACCATGCTTATAAATAAAAAACTAAATTAATCGCGCC